TGGCACCTAGTAAGCACTTAATAAATACCTTATCAATCAATTAGTCAACATTTATTAAGCACTATTGTGTGCCAGGCACTGTGCTAAGGGCTAAGTTATCATTCATTCATTCACCTATTGTTGATGAAGCTATAATGGTTCTTTGTGAGTCCCTTTCCCAGTACACTCCAATCACTTCTTTAATGTTAAAATTTTGCCAGAAAGCAAACTCGAATATGCCAAAGGATTTGAAACTTACCCTTTTCCCTTTTTTGAAAATCAGGACATTTGCCTGTCTTGGTTCCTGCAGCCCATCTCACAGTTTTCTTTCTTTTTTTAGTGTTCTGTTGCCAGCGTTTGCTTTTTACACTACAATCATGGTGGCAACCCTGGGAGTAGGTCTCAGACTCAGGACAGGTTGGGTTTAATTCATGCCTCTGGCACATACTGGCTAGTCCCCATGGAAAGCCAGATCCCCTCATAGTGCCCCCAGGCAACTGTAAGTCAAGAGAACATTGGCTGATGTGCCTTGATGGAAGGAGCTTCTTCACAATGAGTTCAATGAAATCATTTCCCAACACACAGGCTGTCCCCCTTGCCTACGATGTTCTCTCTCCTCACCTCTACCTCTTGGAATCCCAAGTTGCCTTCAAGGCTTAGCTCCAGTGCCTCTTCTACCTGAGTCCTTTCCTGATTTCCCACTCCTGCCTCCCCATTGTTTGAAGTCTCCTACTCACCTGAACTAACTTTGTATTGGAGGTGTATTATTTTGTATTCGCAGTTCTTATCTATATAAGCTGCCCTCCCCCACCACACACACCACATATGCACACACCAGTTGACTATAAGCTCCTGGAGGGCAGGAGCCATTTTGTTTTTGTATCCCCAGTGCCTAGCACTTAAATGCTTGCTGAACTGAAATGAAATGAATTGGATTGGATATATACTAAAATCTTTGGAGCAGCACTTTTTGGAGTAACAAAAAACTGGAACCAAAGTAGGTGGCCCTTTATTAGGGAATGGCCAGAAACAAAAAAACAAAAACATGGCATGTGAATGTAATGGAATATTGCTGTGCCATTAGAAATAGTGACTATGAATCCATAGAAACAGGCATTTGGAGCTGAGTGAAGTCAGCAGAGCCAAGGGAACAGAAGATATAGTAACGACGATAATCATACAAACTAAATAAAGCCGCTAAAAAAAGGTGGACTTTATATTATAGGCAAAGTTTGGTCTTGGTTCCAGAAAATGAGTAGTGAACCATCACTTCTTCCCTTGAGTGTAGGGGGTGGTGGACCACAATTGCAGATGGCTGCACATGCAGTCAGCTGAAAGTCAATCACTGTCTGTCTGTTTCACTTAACGGATTTTCTTCGTTATAAGAAATGATGCTTTTGGGCTGGGGAGGAATACTGGGAAGCCATACCAGTGAAAGGGAAAAAAGCACCAGTAAAGCTTTTCTTTTGGAAGAAAAAGAAGGGAATTTGGAGTTAGAGGACTCATATGGAATCCCATTTCTTTTGTGTGTGTTTGAGCAAATCATTTTCCCTCTCTCTGTTTTCTCCCCTTTAAAATGAGGCGTTTGGACTAGGTGACCTCTAAGAAAGGCACCAGGTTCCAGCTCTTACATTCTGTTCTTTTTTTTTTTAAGGCAACTGGGGTTAAGTGACTTGCCCAGGGTCACACAGCTAGTAAGTGTCAAGTGTTTGGTCTGAGGTCAGATTTGAACTCAGGTACTCCTGACTTCAGGGTGGGTGCTCTGTCCTCTGCGCCACCTAGCTGCCCCTCTTACATTCTGTTCTGATCTAAGCTCCCAGTCCCTTCAAGCTCTACACCATTTTGTTGCTGTTGTTTGACTTTCCTTCTGTCTCCTGTGGAGGAGAAACAGATGTGTGACAGATGTGTTCATTAGCAGAATCTTCTGCTCTTTTCTAGTGATAAAGAAGGAAAGCCAGAAAGTAACTAGGGTAGGGGACCCAAAATTAAGGAAGACCACTGCATTCTCCCCCCTCAAAAATAGTTGTTTAGAGCCTTGGAAGGGAGGACTTTCTAATATCTGCCTTTTGTCCTAGAAAGCCTGTAATGCATTGAGTCAACCTTAAATATAAAGATGGTGGTCCTAGAATTCCAGAGTTAGCAAAGGTTATACCTAGATGAGACTTTAGAAATCAACCAGTTCTCAGGGGCAAAATATTGAATATCATGTCAGACACCATCAATGCATTCGTTGATTTCTCTGAAAGAGACTTTTTCTTTCTCATTCTCAGCTATGAGGTGGGTAGAGAAGAGAGATATTTAGAAATGAAGATGGTACAAAAATAAATTATGCCAATGAAAATACTGTCTAACTACTCCTCCTCCATTTTGTAACTGGGGGAACTAAGGCCAAGAAGGAGTAAAATGCACCAGTTCATCCAGCAAATTAGTGGAAGAGCTGAGACTAAAACTCAGATCTTCTGTCGACAGGATGTATTCTTTGAGATTTTTCTCCAGTAGTGGGAATGGGCTATAAAGAGCCATCCATACTCTCCTTACTGCATCTACAAGCTCACCTCTAATCTCTTCCACAGACTGAGCCCCTAACCCTAGTCACAGGCTGGTCCCTGACCTTGTCCACACATTGACCCAACTGCAAACCCAAACAAAAACCATGCCCCTGGTCAGACTGACCCCTAACCCTAATCCTACACTGACCCTTAACTCTAGCCCCAGGTGGAACCCTAGAACAGCCATCTCATAACCATACGCCCTCGGTCACAAAGGGAACCAGACAAATCCCCTCAACCCTCCCCGCCCCCCACCTTGACCATGTAATCTCCAGAAGGAATAAGATAGATTAAACTGTAAAAAGGCCTTAACCATCCGTGAGGACTGAGATATAGTAGAACAAGTGGGCTCAGGGGGTTGTGAGATCTTTCTCTAAAATCTTTCAGGGTAGGCTAACACCTCACCTGGCAGACATTTCTTTGGATTTGATTAGGGACCATAGAGGCTGGAGTCTCTGGATTGAATTTCTCTTTTGAAAGGGCTCTGAGATCCTAGGATTTGTTTATTTTTAAACACCATATCAATGACTATATACTCTTAGATCTAAAAATACAAGCATTCCTCTTTTTTATACATTCCTGAAAGTAGTGTGAGCATGAATCAAAACTTTGTTAATCAAGCTCTTACCTCTTTGCTCATGATTTTTCCATGTTTCTCTTCATTATTTCTCCATCGACAGTGGACAAGGGCCACCGCCCACTCTTATCAGGTTGTCCTGTAGCTGTAAACAAAAACTTAAATTCATTGAAATAAGTCCATTCTTGAAGCAGAGAATTCTTTTATAAGAATCACTTCTCCTCTAGTTCATCTGTTTTGTGGGGAGGGGAGAATTTTGCACAGTGAGTAGAGTGATGTTCACCTGTGGGTAGCCTGTGAGCCATGCTCACACCTGTGTCAGGATAGGGATAATGGGGTGCTTGGGTGCCTGTGCTTGGACCCCAATTTCTCCCTAGCCTTAGAAACTATCCCTGACAGTTTACCTCCAGCCCAAGGACCCTATCTCTGTCAATGACTCATGAGTGGGCCCAGAGAGGCAAACTATCTCTCCCTGTTACAAGAACAAGTTGACCTCTGTAGAATTTCCCTTGTATGAACAGGACTATCTTGTACCCGCAGAACTATCAAGTACTGACGCCCACAGTTACCGTATACAATCCAGGAGGTCAAGCTATAGACGTCAACTCCTGAAACGATCTTGTTACAGACATAACGGACCAAAAATATATCCTTTAGGAACCCTCTCTTCCCCCCCCCCCTTCAGTTTCCAGTAGGGAATGACGTAGTTGTATATTATCATCTAATTATCATACTTGGCACACAATCCACTATTCTTTCTATATAAGCTTTAGCATCATTCCTGTTAGGTTGCAGGTTCCCTAAGGAGCTCTGTCCACCATGGCAGAATTCCTTAAGAACCTCTGCCCACTGTATAGCCTAACAATAAATCTTTGCCACCTTGACTTAAAGAATGCTTGAGTCTGTGAATTCATTCCAGACGACCCTGTCCTATACTCCGGTCCTTGAGAAGTCTGAATCTCTCAGACTACAACAAGGATGATGGCTGCTTTCCTTTCTAGAACTTCAGTTGCAAAAAGAAAGAATATTCCATTTTAGCGTCCCATGATTGCTGTCTTCCAAGACTTGAAGATCTGTCAAGGCAGAAGACTTGTTTTGCTTGGCTCCAAAGAACAAAATTAAGGGCAAAGAGTGGAAGCTACAAAGAGATGCATTTACACCTGATATGGAGAAAAGCTTCCTAGCAGAGCTAGCCAAAGGTGAACCAAGCTGTTGGAGGAAGTCGATTCGCCCTCATTGAAGGTCTTCAAGTAAAGGCTGGTTTGGGGCAGCTAGGTGGCACAGTGGATAGAGCTCTAGCCTTGGAGTCAGCAGGACCTGAGTTCAAAACTGACCTCAGACACTTAACACTTCCTAGCTGTGTGACCCTGGGCAAGTCACTTAACTCCAATTGCCTCACAAAAAATAATAATAATAATAATAAATAAGAAAATAAGTCACGTGCACAGAAGAACCTAGGAGAATATTCAGAATATATAGCAAAATACATATAACAAGTAAAGGCTGGTTCACCCCATGTAGGGAAAGAGAGGCAGGGAAGAGTAGGTTGGATTTGATGGTCATCAGCATCTGTTCCAACTCTGAAATTCAGTAGTTCTATGGAGTCAGGAAGCCTACATTCCAATCCCTGTTCTCACTTTCATAAGCTGTTTGCCCTTGTCCCTTAACCCTCGTGAGCCTTGGTTTCCTCACCTGTAGAGTGGGGGTAATCACACATTACCAATGTCACTGGGTTGTTGTGAGAAAAATGTTTCATAACCCTTACAGCACTACAGAAACACAAGCTGTTATTTTTAAGAAAAATAAAAAAATTCAGAGATCCAAAGCCCCAACTCAGAAATGTATATTTCTCTTCTGTTCTATCCTGACTTCCTTCATCTTCCTTTCTTCTCCAGATCTACAAGGACAACAGAAACTTGTTTGAGATTGAGGAGAATGTCCCCCAGAAACTTGTGGAGAAGGTGGCAGGAGATATTGAGAGCCTACTGGCCAAGAAGGTCCGGGCTCTGAAGGTAAGAAGAAAGAACGCCTGTGATATTTATTCGTTCATCTCTTTGTTTATTTGTTTGTTTATTTGGCACTTTTGAGGTTTGTTAAACTCAACATATAGTATCTTATTTGATCCTCACAATGACTCTGGGAAATAGATGCTATTACTGTACCCATTTTACAGATGAGGAAATTGAGTGTCCCAAGAACTGACTAAGCCAGTGTGTTCCTCTCTGCCAACCCCTGCCTTCCATGGAATCTATTTCAAGGTCATGGCTTCCAGGGGTCACTATGGAGGCCATGAGGAGAAAACTGTTCATATTACTCCTCAGGGTAGGGATGAGCACGTGCTTGGAGACAGTTGTAATTGTTGCTGGGAACACATGTTCTTCTCTTGTCATGACATCACTGGGGGCTGCTTTTGAAGGCCTTGGTCTCTGATGACTGAGAAACTGGGCTGTTGTTGTTCCAAGGAACCTGGGTAGGAACCGCTAGTTCTACCACCACCAACTACTGCTACCACCAACTCAACCATCATTGTCTTTTTCTGGGTCTCAGTTTTTCCATGAAATTTGTGCCTACCTTATTATAGGCTTTACTGTGTTGCTTCAATAAGAAAATGTATATAACGTATAAGATGCAAAAGTATGAATGTGCAAAAAATGCATCAGATCTCTCTGATAAGGGTCTGATATCTATGATATGCAAGACAATAAAAAGTAACATTGCTATAGCACTTTAAGTTTAGATATATTGTCTCATTTGCACCTCACAACCACCCCAGGAAGGTAGGTACTGTTATTATTCCCACTTTACAGATGAGGAAACTGAGGCAGACAGCAGTTAATTAACTTACCCAAGGTCACACAGCTAGCATGTGACCATTTTGGAAATAACACAAATATATAAAACTAGAAGTCATTCTCCAATAGATCAGTAGGCAATAGATATCAACAAGTCTTAAAAAAAATCCTGCAAATTCTCAACAATCATATGAAAGAATGATTCAAATTACCAATAATAAAAGAAACGCAGATCAAAACATCTCTGAGTTTTTATTCCTTCATACCTAGCAAGCTGGCAAAAATGACAAAAGATGAGAATAGTCCCTGTAGGAGGGGATGTGGAAAGGCAGGTGCGCTCATGAACTTTTGACGGAGCTGTGAGTTGGTCTGATCATTTTGGAAAGCCCTTTGGAATGAAGCTAAGACAGTCATTAGAATGTCTGCACCCTTTGACCTGGAGATGCCACTGCTAGGTGTATACCCCAAGGCAGTCCAATATACACCAGGAAGGAAGGAAAGCTAGGTCTCCCTGGCTCTAGGCCCAGGTCTCTATCCACTGAGCCACCTTCCTGCCTCACCAAAATATTCCTAGCAGCACTTTTTGTGGTAGCAAAGAAGTGAAAAGTATAAACATGTCTGAGAGGTTGTCTTCAGGGCCCATTCGTGACTTTCTCAGCATCCTCCATCTTTGCACTACCATCAGGGAGGAAGGCTTGGTTACATAGTTACTGTGAGGTAGGGGTAGCTAAACCTGTAGCATTGCCCCACCCCATTCCAGGGGACATATATTTTGAAGAGGAGCCAGCCAAAGGCAGTGCTTACTCTGAGGAATGCCAGTGTATACTGTAAAAAGAGCCCCCACTCTAGAATATATGGATCTGCGTTCAGATCCTACCTCTAATGTTTGCTACCTATATGACCTTGGGCAAGTCACTTAACACTTGTGAGCCTCAGTTTCCTCATCTGTAAAATGAGAATGACAGGGGCAGCTAGGTGGTACAGTCAATAGAGCTCTGGCCTTGGAGTCAGGAGGACCTGAGTTCAAATCTGTCCTCAAACATTTGACACTTACTAGCTGTGTGACCCTGGGCAAGTCACTTCACCCCAACTGCCTCACCAAAAGCCAAAAAAAAAAATCAATAAAATGAGAATGTCAGACTAAATGAGTCATGAGATCTCTTCAGGTTCTGTATCTATGATTCATGGATCCCTTCAAGCTCTAAGTGCTGAAATCTAAGGAGGATTTCAGGGAGTGGAGGTGGGTTTTTTGTTTGTTTGTTTTATGCAATGAGAAGAACCCTCTGAGCCCTCCCTCTCCCCCTTTTAGAAACCATGGTAGCCTAAAGATTTTGCTAGGCATATTTGCTCATTTTTCCTCTCTTTCCCAGTCACCATTGAAACCAGACCTCACTCTCCAGCTCCCCAGCCCTCCAGGGGTCTCAGCTTGAGGCAAACCCCACATTAGGCATGGTCTCTGCATGTCATTGGATCTGAGGTCATTTCATTTTCCAAGAATGGGGGTTAAGACAGGACAACCAGAGAGAAAGAAAGGAAAAGTCGTTGGGTAGGTATCTCCCTGTGTGCACATGGCAGCCCTGAGGACTTTGGACATGATGGGGGGAGGGGAGAGACAAGAGGCAGTGAAAGGAAGGTGCCAAGGAAACCTTAGAACATAGACAGAGGATGCCACAGCTAGAAGAGCTCTTAGATCCAATCTAGTCCAACTCTTGCATTTTACAAAAGGAACAACTGAGGCAGAGGTCACACCAAGGTCACACAGATAGTCAGAAGTAGTGATAGGACCCGAGTCCTTTACCCCCTGCCCTACTCCTCCCTCTTCCCAGCCAGGGCTCGGCCAAACCTGCTCCGACCTCTGCTTTCCCATTTCTAACTAACAGCAGGGATGGTGCTGGGGCTGGGGCCGGGGCCGGGGCGGGGGCTGACGACCATCGGGGCAGGAATGCAGATCATGAAGCATGACAGAAACAGCAGGAGAGAAGGGGAAGATGATGAAAACTGAAATGTCAGGCTTTTCCACAGGCTTCTCAGGCGTTCCCACTCTCTCTGTATCTTTCTCAGTTCCTTTATCTCTGTCTCTCTCCCTCCCTATCACTTCAACAATCTCTCTCACATTCTCTCTTTCTTTTTGCCTTCCCTATCTCCTGGAACACCCAGTCTCTCCATCTCCCTTCCTGTCCCTCATCCTCTATGTCTAGCCCTGGTCACTGTCTTTGTCATTCTTCTGTCTTCCCTCAGTGAGTCATTTTGTCTCTGTCTTTCCTCATCTCTTTCTCTTTTTCAGTGACACTATTTGTCTCTCAGAATCTCTCCTTTTCTCTCTGTATTTCTCTGTGTGTGTCTCTCTCTGTCTCTGTCTCTCTATCTCTCTGTCTCTGTCTCTCTCTGCCTCTTTTTCTTTCTCTGTCTCTCTGTCTCTGTCTCTGTGCCTTTCTTTCTCTCTCTGTCTCTTTGTCTCTGTCTCTTTGTCTGTGTGTATGTGTGTGTGTGTGTGTGTGTGTGTGTGTGTTTCTGGCTCTGTCAGTTACTCTCTTTCATTCTCTTCTTCTCAATCTTCCATGACAGAGAGATTTTGGCCCCCCCTCTCCACAGGGTCTGTTCCCCTATGCCATGGACTTTAGCTCTGTCTTCTTGGTCCCCCCTTCCTGCCAATGTTGCTATAGCTGCCACTGTCCCCTCTTGATTTCCAGTGTACCAAGGAGCTTGCTTGGTCTGAGGGATTCTGAAACACTGAGCCAATAAAGAATAGTGGCACAGTGCAAGGAATGCCACACTTCTTCAGAAATTTGAGGCTCTAATGCTTCCATCTGTTTATTAATCTGCAAAATGGGAATAATAAAACATGTACTCCCTACCTCCCAGGCATATTCTGATGAAAGCCCTTTCTGAACTTTAAAGCACATTAAAAACAGGATCTATTAATGTTATTATTAGCTTTCCCAAGGATTCAAGCAGTGATCAGGTGTCCTACATCAGTCTGTAACGATAAGTACTAAATCACTCTCTTATGACAAATATTTTATTTGCCTTTGGGTGATGGCTGTTGAATGTTCACTAAATTATTAGGTCCCAGGAGAATTAAATTCCACTCAGTATGCATTGATGAAGTACCTACTATGTGCCAGGCACTGTGTTAGGTGCTGAAGACAGAGATAAAAATGAAACAGTCATTGCCCTCATAGAGCTTACTTTCTACTGAGATTGATCGTAGAGGTAGAGACCACAGACCTAGCTCTAACCCTGGTCACAAAATGAACCCTGACATTAGCCATCCACATTGTATGCAATGTTCCCATTCAAAGGCCTGCTGGACATATGCAGGGTTGGGAATGAAGCTATTCAGGCTCTAGTCTGCCATTAATTTACCATGTCATTTTGGGCCAGGCACCAACCCTCCTTGGGCCTCAGTTTCCTGAAACAGCATCAGGATTGGAGTCAGAAGAGACCAAAGTTTGAATCCCACCTGTCACTGATGGGTTGTGTGACCACAGACTTAACCTCATTGGGATTCAATTTCCTCCCATACAAAATGAGAATAATAAAATCTCTAGTACCTAATGCACTAGGTTGTGGTCAAAATCAAGTGAAATAACTTATGTCTTTTGCAAACCTCAAAGCGCTGTATGAATGTCAGTTGTTTATAACTGAGAGATGGGTACTTGGAAGCAAAGTGTAATATAGGTGGAAGTTACTGTTCTTCTGGAGGGGATGAATGAGTAAGGGAGTAGAACAGGCTTGATCTGAAAGGCTTCTTGGAGGAGGTGATTTTTAGCACACTTACTGAGGGTCAGCAAAGCCAGCAACCTGAACTCCCAGGGAAAGATCTCAGAGTCCCAGCTCCAGGCACTCCTGTCTGAGTCTGAGACCATGTAGTCACTTCCTCTCTTACCTCTAGTCACCCAGGAGGACAATGAGAACCAAGGTCTGCTGCTTCTGAACAGGGTACCTACAAGGCTCAGGAGATTCATTTAAAGGTCTAATCTCAGAGCTCTCTTAATTAATCGTGACAAGCCCTTCTCTCTCCCACTTCTTGCCTAATTGCTGGTGAAAAGCTTTTGTTTTAATTATATTTTTAATTCGCTCCTAATCAAACCCTGGCTGGCGGCTCTGGTTTGCGTGGTATGTGTTTGGGGGCCTGCGTAAGTGTGTGTGGGAGGGGCAGAGAGGAAAGATGAGGGGGCTGCTGCTCCCAACACAATGTTCCTCTCTCACTGGACCTC